GCCATTTGATAAGTCTGTGTTCCCACAACATTACACGCTTCTACCATTTCTGGAATTCCTGCAGTGGGTTTCGCCGCTCACAGAGCATCAAGCACTTTCTTGCAATCTACGTTAGCATTTGCAATTGCCATTTGTTTTAACAGAATTGCACGAGCCTCTGAATTGTCCACTTGCCTTTCTAATGCAGTACTAAGGCGGTCCACGAACTGCATATAGCTTTCAGTAGCGCCCTGCTTGACCGTCGCAAACGACTTAAATCCTTTCCCATTTTCATCAGGGAGGTTTAACAAGGCTCTTAATGCCTCTCCTTGGCTTTGCGCCAACGCCTCTCAAGCAAGACGCAGCCGCGCTGTCTCTTCCCAATAGGGACCCTCTCCCAAAAGGACTGCGGGACCCACTGCATACAGTGGATCCCCTTGTTGACGATCTAAATTAGCTGTAGCCGCTTGATCGCAATTATTCCGCCACGCTTGTTGCCGTAACATATACTGTGTGGGGGTCAACAAAAGCTGAGCCAGCGTACGGCAGTCATTAGGTGTTAAAATCATATTATTAAAAACCGCTTGTATCAAGCCTTGTGCATAGGGAGAGTTAAGTCCAGAGTCCTTGATACTTTTTCGCAGTTCCTTTATTAAACTAAAATTAAAACCTTCCCAGGTGGGGGCTTGACCTTCGCGCAGGAGGACAGGCATCGGGAGGGCTTGAAGGCACTCAAGGTCTCCTGCCATCGCCTGAGCTCGCACGTCTTTCCACCGATCTACTGGAGGTACAGGCGTAACAACCGGCATTGATATAGCAGGTTCAGGAGTTTGCGGAGGAAATAAGTCTGGTTCTTTTTCAGGGTCTACAGGGCCAGGGTCAAATGGGTCTGCCGATTCACTGGCCCACGCAAGAGGAGCAGAAGGTGTCTCAGCCGCCTCCTGCATGCTTTCCTGGTGATTCTGATCTAACGCGTCAAATACAAGTCGCCAGGTCGTTAACAAGGAAGGGGCGACGGGATCATCCGAGGTGGCGGCGTTCCACAAACACGCCCCAATGGTATCCCAAGTCCCCTTACTGTATACGTTACTTGTATCAGCTTCTTCAACGTGCGCGGAGATCCAAATTAAAAGCTCCTTCCATTGTTCTGCCTTTACAGCTACTTGCCGTTTCTCTAGAAAACGCTGCATAGCCTTGTAGGCAGATTTATATTCTGCTGATACAGAATTCCCCACGTTCCCAGCTGCTTACCTTCCGTGAAGGCCGCGGTTAAAAAATGCCGCGCGAGTTCAGCTGGGCTCCCCCACCGGATTTCCCTCTTCACGCCCCTGTTGGGGCCACCACCTGTGGGGACTGAAGGCACGAACCTTGCGCGTGGTGAAGCAAGGCTGTTTATTTCATAGTCCGTCCTCTCTTATATACCTTATTATGTGAGAACACAATCTGTGTTTACAGATTGAAGTTGCTTGGCTGCATTGCTGCAAAGCCGCGCTCTGCCTGGAGATTATCTTCCCTCTCTCACGTCCTTGCCCTAGTTTCAATATCTGCACTCGGAGTTACAGATTGAAGTTGCTTGGCTGCATTGCTGCAAAGCCGCGCTCTGCCTGGAGATTATCTTCCCTCTCTCACGTCCTTGCCCTAGTTTCAATATCTGCACTCGGAGAGCTCACGCGCACCTGCCCGTCTTGGCACTGGCACAAGTCTTCATGGCAGGCGCGCTTTCCCAGGGCTTCTGGCACTGAGAGAATACTTTGTTGCTGCTCCCAGTCCTCTTCTGGTACGCATGGCCCCCGACATCTCTCCCTTTTTGTTTTAACAAAACTGCATATGCTTGTTGATTGAAGGCGCCATCTATCATTCGTCGCATGCATTGTAGAAGACAGGGAAACAGACACAAACAGACTAAGATCATCAGTGACATAATCAAGCCGCTCTTCACAATAGTTAATAACCACCCTGTGATCCCCCATCCTGAGAACAATCGTTCCAGCCAGTCATTGTCGTCTAGCCTCAGCTTCGCTTTCAATCTTAATATACTGTCGTGAATAGATTCCGAGTGAT